ATTTGAGCGCAATAAAGTAAATGAATATGTTTTTAAAATAAATTATATTAATTTGTTAAAGTCAAACTTACCACTGCAGTCAGTTTGATGAAGCAAACTATACATCTTTTTAACAGTGGGTAACTTTGGAGAAATGTAAAAATTAGTTTACTTAGTTTTTTCTTTCTTCTGAACAGCTCTACAAATGTTTTCTTAATATTGTATGCTATTCATTTTAAGCAGCTCATTTTTTACTATAGATTAAATGTTTTTCAAAATAGATTCCATCTCATTCAGATCAAGCTAAAACTTAATTTGACAATGAGAAGTTATCTGTCTCAAAAAACATTTAATCTGTAGTAAAAATATGCTTCTTAAATTGGTGTACATTATTAATACTAGTAATTTTTTTCTTATTTAAAATTTTTTTTGTAATAAATGGATGTATCAAGGCTAAATTACTAAAAATTTATGTAGATTATAGATCAAATGCTTAATATTTCAAAGATATGGATTTTTAAAATGTTTGTCAACTGCATTATTTTAATACTCTAGCCTAGTTGTTTGATGGATCTGATATATACTAGTTGTGACTGATTTTTTTCTCTTTGCTTTAGCTTGTCAGCAGTTACTTTCATTATGTAAAAGTACTGTATGTTATCTATAAGAACTGTGATGTGAAGAAATATATACAAGTTGATTTTTCTTCTTCTTCTTTGTTAATATGGAGATTTTAGCTCTTTCTAGGCTCTTTCTCCGAATTCCCCACTCTCAGGTTCCCTTACTTAAATCGTCCAGTTCGTGCGATATATGTTTCTAACGCCATCACTAGATGGCGGGGTGTGATCTGTGTCGTCGGCGCGTATACTTCCCACAAAGTACTTGTTTCTGTCAGTCTGACACCCAGGGCAGTTCCCAGGTCACTGCGAGCTTTAGCATATTCCGGACACTCTAGCCAGAAGTGCGCTGCTGTTTCCCTCTTCTTACAGTGAGGGCAGTGAGGCATATCGTGCAGCCGTCTGGAGTGTAAAAAATCATTCAAAGGGGCCGTCCCCGTACGCAAGCGCGCAAGAAGAGTCTCCATGTATCTGTTCGACGCGTAGTTATAGTGCCAGTTGATAAACGGACTGAGATAATCCCTGCTCTTTCTCCTCAAGTCTGCTGTCCAACACTCCGTAAGCCGGAGTACTACCTTCTCCCTGTCTGCTCTTGCCATGTCTCGTGGCATCAACGACCGCCAAATCGATCCGTCTGGTTTCCCGACCCGTGCCGTCCTGTCTGCGCGCTCGTTAATAAGAACTCCTGTATGCCCAGGGGTCCACCCTGCCACACATGCTTCCCGCCTTAATCCCAAGCCCGCTGCTATATCTATAATTACCCCCGGGGAAGAAAACCCCACGTTCGCCACTGCTGTAAGGACCGACAAACTATCCAAAAAGACCGCGCACGGCCCATCTGTCTCCCTCATCACCCGCAGAGACCAAAGGAGCCCCTGTGCCTCCGCCCCAAACACACTGCAGGCCTCATTAAGTAACCAGGCCTCTGACCTCCCCTGCTTTGGGACCACTAACCCTAACGATACACGGCCCTCCGACTTCGAGGCATCCACCCCCATCAGTAACCACTGTGGCCACTTGTTATCCGTTACCCAGCAGAAATGCGCCTGATGCACTTCCGGTGGTAGTCCTTCCACCTCCCTGTAATCTCTCAAGCTCTGTCTCCTTTTTACTACCTCTGCCTCCGGCAGCACCGACTGTTGTCTGTACAAGTTGATTTAAAATTCTTACTTCTTCATATACTTTGCTGCATGCTAATTCTCTGTTTCATTTTGTCAATGACAACATCATTATTTCAAAATAAATTTTAAAGATTCAAATTTTTAATTGGGAATTTTCAGAATAACTAGAATTTTATTGATATATCTTCAATGTAGGGATTTATGCTTAGAAAAATTGTATATATTTAAATTTTAAGCATCAATTCTTTTTCTGTCCACATTTTAAAACAAATATTTATATCTGAAAATATGATTTTTTTCAAGGAGTAACTTTTGTTTACTTATCAAGATCTCTTAGATTCCTTAAATTCAGGACTTAATTCCTAATTATACAAAAATTTATAAGTTTAATATTAAATTTATATCATATTGAATCTTCAATTGAATATTCTATGGAACAAATATTATCCAAATTTGAATATGCCAAATAAATAATCCAGCAGATGATAGGAATATATTTCTCACTTCAAATATATAAAATATTTAATAAGTAGTTACATAAGATATAGTAATAGAATTTATTTTTATAAATAGTTTTAATTCTTAATGAGTTAAGATTATTTAAATCTAAGTTTAGAATCAGATTTCAAAGGTTTATAATAAATGCTAGTTTTTTTTGTTTTTGCAAATTTTAGAATAAATACAAAATTTAAAATCAATGATTAGGAAACTTTTAAAAATTAAATATGATAGCAAGAATTCATGTTATACATTTATAGAATTTAAATTATAGTTAAATATATCAAATTATTCTTCTGAAATTTTATCTTCAGAAACCATCAAATAATGTATATTTTGAAAATGTTTAAAATAGATTTAATTACTTCTAGACTATTTTTTTAAGCTTTTTTTATTGTGTCATGTGTGTAATCAGTTAACTCACTTTTTCCTATTAGTACTAAGAAAAATTCTTGAAGGGAAGATATTGTTACTACTGTTTCTTTATATAATAGTTTCTTGTTAAGTTTCTGTAAATATTGATATATAAGATAGTCTGTTGAAATATCAGATAAATGATTTAATGTATTTGTAAAAATTGACACTTAACTAAATAAATTTAGCCAAGTATCAATTTTTAGCAAAGTTGATAAAGATATGTATTTATTTAATTGCTTTTTTTTTAATTGCAAAACATTGTTGTGACTTATTTATTTGGCAATATTTAAACATCATTCTTATATTTCACTACTTGTATTGATTGCTAATAGAAAGAAATGTTAAAATTCTTTAAAATAAAATTATCAAAAATATTAAGGAAAAATGTAATATTATCCTACATAACTTATAATGTAACTTGCTTGTTGAATTAACATAAATTTGTTTACTTTATTTGATAAATATTGTTGTTATAGTAATAAAAATTACTTAGGTAAAGAAATGATCGTATCTTTAATTTCTTCACATTTCTTAAATAATTAGGATAATATTAAAAGAATAATTGCAAAAAATATAATTTTGCATATGACAATGTAACATCATAGCAATAAAGAATTATTATATAATAAATTAAAGAAAAGCTACATTAATACCATTCATTTGTTACACATTTCTAATAAAAATTTTATGTATTTCATATTGGAACTTATTATTATAGNTAAAATTATCAAAAATATTAAGTTACTGTATTAAACTTATGTTAAAATTGCTTTTATTAATAATATAACTTTATTTTTCAATATTTTTCTTACTCTTAGAAATGTTTGGTGTTTTGCTCATGTAAATGCTGTGTTAATGAGATCACAAATTCTTGAGATTATAAATATTAGTGTTTGTATTGGTGTATCCTTATATTGGTTATCCAATATAAGGATAATGATAGATTAAACATCCATTGTAATGTTTTTAATGTTTCTTCAGATGAATAAATGATTCTTTATTTTATCTCTATTGAGATTGTTTTGCTGTAGTCAGTGCTGATTTTATACTGTCATTCTGATTTTATACTGTCAACTTACTATGCTATGCAGATTTTAAGCATATTCATTTATTTGTCTGATTATTGCTTGTTGCACTGTTTTGTCACATGAGTGAGCCCTAATTAATACCTTGAATAATTATTGTTTTCCTTATTGACAATAACATGTATGTAATAGACCATAACTTGCATATAAGCTGAATTCAAAGTAATTCATAAATTTATTGATGATGTGTAATCATAAATGCATTTTCTAACTGTCTTTCATATCTTTGTTAATATTTTTATCATAATTTTCCTTGATTTTTTTTTGAAAGATCCTGTTATTTTATTATAATGCTGTTTCTTACTGTAATAGTTATCTGGTACACCCATAATGTATATCAGCATCTCAGTCTCATTATTTAAATTGGCGTGCTTTTGACAATGGTACATCTTGGTTGCTGTCAGTTGTTTTTACTGTATTATGGATGTTTGTTTATTCTTTATAACCTAACATTGCTACATCTTTTTAAAAATAATAAAAGTATTATCTGTTTGACTGTTCAGAGATTGAGTTTAGATGTGTTACATGAGTTACATTGTTAATTTTAAGAGCCAATGCAATTCGTAAGCTGTACTTTGGTCATTTCTGCTGTATATTACACATTCCCAAACAATCTTGCACTCAAACTATAAAAAGCAAGTATTGTTTAAAAACATCTTAAATGTTAATATATACAATTCAACACTTTCTTTCATTGCAAATTTAGTTTTACAAATGTTTGGTTTGTAATTTTTTTTTATAGTTTGTGGAATTTTGCTAGTCTGTAATTGAAAAATAGAGAAATATTTGTAATAAGTTAATTTACTATGATCCAAACTCAAGTTTGTTGCATAAAATAAATGGCATTAGTATATACTGATTATTTATAATAGTTTAGCTTAAACTATTGAAAAATTTTTATTTATCTTAATTATTTCAATAGAAAATTGTTTTATAGAACAAAACAACATATAATTAAAAAAATGCAGAAAAACTTTGCAGTTAGCATATCAATATATTTTTCTTTAAATTTTTTAAAATGATTTTTCTTTTATATGAATATCGTTTTATAGGGCAAAAAAGATGTAATTTTGTTAAAGTTAATAATTTTATTTAAATTTTGTTAAAAGCAACATCAAAAAAGATTTGTTTTTGTATAGTTTATTCTCAAATAAAATCTGAAATTTAAATAGAATCGGATACCATTTTGATTTTCAATTTTTACTCACAGCTATTAACATGATTACAAATAAATTTTATTGTGAAAAATTAATTTCAGATTCAATATATGTAAATAAAGTAATGATGAGAGTATAATTATTTGAGTAAAATATACATTTTTAAAATTATAATAATTATAAAATAGAAGTTTTTAATTTTTTTTTAGGTTAAAAATTCTTTTGAGAATGTTTCGATAAATGTATTAGTTTCCACTGAAGTTTGATCACAAATGGCAAGTTCATGCCCAGATGATTCAATTGATGATGGTGATAGTGATGCAGATACTGTCAGCAGCAATGCAACTTTACAAAATGGATCTGTTACTTCTGAAACAATGGTTGATAGGTTTGGATTTCTTGGAGGGTCACAGTATACAGAACCAGGACTGTAAGTTAATTTTTTTTAAATTACAGAGCTTTTACAGAGAGTTTTAGATTAACTATTAATATTTGACTTTCCTTTAGCAAATTTAGCAGGACAGTAAATATATTGCTATCCTGTTTAATTTGATATTTTAGAAAATTTAGGTAATTTACTAAGAGGTAATTGGTAGAAGAAATTTAAAACAGCTGTATGAAATTACTAGTTTAGTGTTCAATTATTAAATAAGTCTAAAATAGTTTGACATTAGAAGACTAAGCCACAACATTTATAAAGTCAGGAGGAAACATGTCTAAGATAACATTACAAAAGTATCTGTAGATGATTGAATGGATTAAAATTAATAAATTCAATGGCTATGTTTGCAAATAGTTGTAATTATCTATTAGTTTGAAGAGCATGAGACTCGGGTTCTGTAGATTTGAGCATTGCTATCCTGTAAGCTGGTTTGTTTTCTTCATTAAAGAAATGCTGTAGCATTTGATGATGATTATCATTATCATTCAGTATTGAGAGAGAATATCCACATCTTTGCAAACCACTAGAATGTATCTTAACAATTTGAATCGTATAATTGAGTTATAATAATTCCTTACCACATGTTCATTTATATATATATATATATATCACAATACAATGAATGATTTGTTAGATCATATAAATAATGCACTGCTTTACTTATTTTATTATTGCATAAAACAATATGGAATTTAAGGCTGATTGGTTTATGAAGTAAAATTTGATGGATATCCAGTTTTTATATGGAGTTTTCAATATTGTTTTTTGATGTAGCTGGCATCTTTTGTTCTATATTGTCATATTGTATTTCTACAAACAGGAAACAGCTAGATGATCAGCTTTTGCTTATTGTAGTAATATTTGAATATTTTAATTATGGAATATATGCTTATCCATTGTTTTGTAGATGTATCTTGTAAATGATCCTTGTAAATCATGGAGATATGACATTTTCTCACAGAATGTTTGAGAGTTCTGCTGTCTTCATGATCAGATTCCTTATCACAATCAGACTTCTCAAAAATTGCTGATATTTTTTTCATGATGACATAATACCAAATAATCACATGAAATTAAGTCAGGATTTGTTTTTTATAAAGATGGCATCATCCATGCTAGGATGTAATTTGCATGTTTTATCTTTACCAGGACATATAAATGTATGTTTACTGACTTTTTTATATAAGAAGGAAAGTATGGTGATCAGTTGAAAAATGATTTCCAAGATTTTTAGATTATTGGACTCAGAACATTGAAATGTTGAGAAATGTGGAACAATTTGGGGGTTTTTTCTGTATGTATGGGTGTTTGTGTATATGTGACAGCATTTTGTTCACCTACTTTGAAGCTTTATAACTCCTGTGCATTTTGTGAAAATTTTCTGAAATTTTGCTTGGAGGTTAGGAATTGGAGGGATTTATATTATTAAATTTTGATGGTTAAAGATTGAGGGAATGGGGAAATAGAAGGAGAATATGTGTCATATCTTAAGTGGGATTGAACTTAACCCCTTCAAAAGCCTCTTGTTTTATGAATGATATAGTTTCTAGAAAGTCTTTAAAAGCTTCAGATAGTCATAAATTTGATTGACCAATTAAATTTATGACTATTTGAAGCTTTATGACTACTGAATTATAATTCAGTAGGTTGTCAAATCACAGATGCATTTATTACATTTTAAAATTTTTATAATTTCAAAGAGCACTAAGATGTGATTAGTCAGTTTGCATATAAGAATAAGATCATTACTTCAGATGTAAAATGTCATTATAAAATTTTGAATTTTGTTTTGCAATCAAAAGTGTAATTATATACGGTATCAATCTATTTTGAACCTTTTGATGATATTGTATATCACCTTAAACACAAAAAAATCCCACAAAATTAGACATTGAAATAATCACCAGATCTTAAATTTTGAGCTGTTTAAATACTGTAAAAAAATATGCATTGAGTCTATGGGGATTAAGTCAGGACAAAACTGAAATTTCAGTTAAGGACAATCAACTTATCAAGACAAGACTTTAGGATCTGGTCCAGCTATGGCTGCTTTTTGCTTCTGATGATATGAATATGATTCTAATTTCAAATCACTTGCTAGTTTGCAACACTGTCAGACAAAACCAATAGAACTTTTCCATTGAGAGAAAGGATGATCCCTAAAGTATTGCTTTCTTCCTGGCAACATACATCTCTATCTACCTAGGAAATTAAATTAAAGAAGTTAAAATAACTACATAAGAATTGAAAATTAAATCTTTATAAAGTGGCAACTACTATGTTTTTAGGCAAACCATTTTTTTCCTCTTTCCATGGCCCTGCAAGAGACTACTTTATTCCCAAAAACATCTACTCTTAAGATAATATAGTTCTTGATATTTTTAATGTAGATTATTTTATATTTCTGAATTATGCATTCATAAATATGTATTACAAGAAATGCTATTTAAAGACTAAAAATTAAATATAAATTGAAGTAAAATACTCGCTATGAGGGAAAATATGCAATTTATATAGTCAAATGAATGATACGGAAGAAGTAGAGCGTAGAGATAAATGTATGGACAATTTCAAAAAACTTTAAATTGCCCCGAAAAAAAAAAAGAAAAAAAATTATATTTTCGTCGATAATTAATNAAATATTTGATTGATTAAAGTTATTTAAAAAAAAATCAAATATATATTATTGTGACAATGATTTTTGACAATTGTCACAATGTTGGGCTGCAATTTTTAATCATATTTTAATTTAAAAAATCACGTGACTTCTGGTTCAGATTAGAAGTTTTTACAAAGTTAATCAGTGCCTCTGGTCCCTAAGCATTCTGTATGTGGCATCTATTTTCATTTAACTCATTTTATTCTCAATTTCAGAAAAATCTAGTTTTTGATTAAATGTCTTGAGTCAAATACTACTAAGATAATATAATTTTTAAGATTTCATACTGATATCAATTTCTGAAATAATATAGAAATGTCTTAGTTAAATATTAAAGATAATTTATTCATATTTTAATTTATTCAGAATTTTTAGAGGTCACCTCTAAAAAAGGTAATATATTGTTTTAATCTTAATGTTTTCAAATAAAAAATGGGGGTGTACTCTGAAGAACAGTGTAATAATCATGACTGATTTTATGACTGATAACAGTTAAATATGTAACTAGATAAATTTACATTTTTTCAAATTCATAAGTTGGCCTAACTTTTGTCTACATTTTCTGATACTGTTTTCATACAATGTCTCTAAAATTATTTCAAACTCAACTTTGATCTTAACCTACATTCTAACAGAATTATGATAAATTAATTTATTGCAAGATTTGGATGGTTATGCTAATTTTTCAATTTTTGAAACAATATAACACTGATCATTTAATACTTCTAAAGTCTGAATTGACTGAAAAATTTGGGCTCTAGTTTAATATTGATATAGTAAATTTTAAACAGTAAAATATGTAAAAAGTTTAATTTTTTGTTTACTGCATTTTTATTATTTAATTAAAAATTAATTTAATAGCAAAATAAATTTTTTTTTGACTTTTTTGAAAGATCAATAATTAAGAATTTTTCAAAAATTCTTAAATACTTCAGGATATATTCATAAATTCTTCAGAAGAATTTAACAATATATGCTAAAGAATTAATCTGTGTTTAATTTTATTAAAAATTTAGGAAAAGTCTTTTAATAAGAAATTTATATATTGCATCTTGATGAAAAGCAGTACATATATTAATAAAGATTATATTATAAAGAAAGTGTGATAAATAAATTTTTAAGTATTACTTAGCTTGAAGTGTAGAAAGTGAATATGAGTATCTTTTAAATAGAGAGGGAAAAAAGTGTTCTGTATCTGATGTGGAACATAGCCAATATTTTTTTCTTTAGTTTTTTTTATTTTTTATTTCTTTGTGGTTTGATATTTGACCTAGGTCAGTAACTCTATGCTTTTATTTTTAACCTGCTCTAAATTTTTTATTTTTTGTAGACTTAATTAGAATTATTCAAAAAGCATCCTTCTTATTCTTTGTATCATCAAAAACTGTTAATAAAATTTATTAAAAAACATTCTATATTCTTATAAAACCTTAACTTTCTAATGAAAACTTAAAAATTTAAGGTTGAAACAATGTTTTATTATCTATCCAGTGTAATTGCTTGGAAGACATCATTAATTTTATTTTAAACATTGAATTATATAGATAATGTATAATTATTGATTTATTTCAATAGAAATTGTTATAAAGTGTATTTTGTTGTTATATATATATTTAATTATATAAAAAAATATTTAGAATATTTGACTCTTGTTTACTGTTCTTTAATAAAATTACATTATGTATTATAATAATTAGAGATTTGAATTAAGTTTACACCATAAATTTTTAATAAAACTACTCATTAGCATGCAAAAATTATCCAATTAAATACCATATAATTTGAAAGCTAAATATTAAAGGTGTTGCATTGTAATGATGTTTTAAATTAGAAAATGTTTTAAATTAAACTAGTATTTGTACTGAATACATGACAAATAATAACTTTTTTGTTTCATTGGATTTTCCATTTGAAGTAATTAAAGCAGATTTATCAAACAAATCTAAAATTTAGAAATTTATAAGATAGCTGTTACATTTATCTTATTTTTGTTATATACTAAATCTGATTTTCAAATGATAGGAAATTTGTTTTTGAAAGGTTATCTTTAAATTTGATTGGTTAAATTATCTTGTAACACTGTGCATAGATTGGCATGGCATATAACATTAGAACATTTAGAGTGATATTTAATAATATAGAAAATTTTCTGAGGCTATACATAAACCAAAATTAGTTCTGCAATATTATATTTATTGATAGCATGTATACTTTTTCTCATGTGCTGTCTTCTGTATTTCGAATTTCTTCCCTGAAAAGATATTTATTGAAAAAAAATTTTTTCTTTACATATACAGATCTGAATTTCCTATATTGTTTTTAAAATCCT